GATGAGGTCAAAATTGCAGTCCAGTCTAAATAAGATTACCTTTTGGGAAGTACGGCTGTGAAATTCAGTGGAAACGTCAGGCATACTTAGCAATATGGGAGGGTTCAACCAGCAGTCCTTTACGTTAAATGAAGTAGAGTAAACAGTTCTTATTCAAAAATTACTGGTAGTCTCAAAATCCTATTTTTTAAAAATAAAAATTATACGCATGGACTACGTTTATAATGCTTATGGAATACTAACCCTAGGTTGCATAAAGTAATTTGAGGACATAAATCTTTCTAAAGTGAGCTGAATAGGCTCCAGAATGTCTATCATTTTCACTTATTCTTGCATCCAAACTGACTATCTCCATTTTGTACTGCAATTTTAAGCATGTCATTAACTTTAACGGGAGTATCGTGGTTAAACCATAATTCCACCATTTAGCCACAAGTATCAGTGTGTCACAAGGCAGATGAAGCATTCAAAGTAGTCCAGGCCTCTAAAATCAAATATATAAGATTACAAATTAAGCAGCCATGTATTCGCCATCTAACTCAATGGGGTTACTTATTTTAAATATAAGTAGGCTTCGAGTATTTAGTTGCCATGATACTCACTACCCTGTATCGAGTCCCGTTTGGTGTGCTGATGAGAACTAGACCAGGTAGAAACTGCGGTCGAACCTGGATTTTAGAGCCATTTGGGAAAGAAGATTAAGTGAAATACAAAAGTACCATGGCGTCTGCTCATCGCCTTGAAAGAAAACTCATACCAGTTCTTAATTTACCTTAAACGACTTGGATGGTAAAGTTCTTACTCAAGAATTACTGGTAGTCTCGAAGTGTACTTATACGAATAATATATTGTTTATTTTTTATCAAATTTAGAATTCTCTTTTGCAGACAGAGTAAAAGAGAAGCACAAACGTAATCATAATTGTACGTAATATGGGGTCTCTGGCTAAAAAAATGCGAAAATTTGCAACAAAAATATTTGCGACGCTTTGACAACTTTAAAGAGTATCGTGTACATTGAGGCAGATTCTAAGCGGTATATTGTTTAAAGACATAGACTACAAATAAGGGATGAGGGACAACGCAAAATATCAGACGACAACTGAGGTTAAAATTCAAAAAAATTGCAATTTGCGCTGGGCCTCAAGGGTAAGCGAACCTTTCTTCCTTTTAGGCGGATCTGGGAAGGTGAGTTCAAATCAAAAAGCTGTTTGTCAACATATTCGAGGCCTATTACATATATAAATTGATAAATAAAATAGGGCAGCAAAATAAAATGGCTAAAGGGAGAGGTATGGAACTATACCTCGCAATTTAGGGCAAATAGTACGATTGCGAGAAAATTTCAATAATTAGTGAATGGTACATGCATAATAACAAAATATAAAGGCAAATAAAGAAAAATAATTATGGATATAGATGAATATCACATAGGAGTTGCAGAAATATAAAGAAACATTCATAAAATTTGAATAAAAGGCGAAATCGCCAAAACTGGAAGACTATAAATATTCAAGTGAAAAGTGATAATGCCAGATGATGTAGCATGGTTTCGCTAAGATTTTCTAATAAAAAATATCCTCGATTTGGCCCTTTGGCGTTATTTCTTTTTGATCCCCAATTGCTCACGAAGCATCTCGTATGAGGCATAGGAGATGCTGACTGCCGGTATCACCTTGAGCATATTTGGCCCAATGCCAGCATAGAGACCTGCCAGACCCTCGCGTTTTATTATATTCTTTACTAGACCAATCAGGCCAGTCTAGCAGAGGAATAGAATGGAAGAAAAATAGAGGAAAACAATACAGAAATTAAGATTGTTTGTAGACATCAATTTCACTTAAGTCATTCATTCAAGTGGAGATAAAGAAAATAGACCAAAAGGCGAAATTTTGCTGATATAAAATTCCAGGTTATGTCTACTTGTGTGGTGTAATCAATGTTTAAAAGGCAGCGCTGAATGAGTTGCACTGAATCCCTTTAAGAAGAGCAGAACCATTTGCCAAAGTAAAATCAAGTTTATAAATGCAGATAAGTCATTACAAATAAGATATTTGCTGTGATAACCGGACATAAGAGTGGCTTAAATGAACCCAGATAATAGTAAGCTGTGGGGTTAAACAAATCTCCGTAAATTATAATATTGATTATAAGATACCCGCAAGTTACTGAGGAATGAACATCGATAAATCACACGTCCATAACAAAATAAACAGACGCTAATGTTGAGTTTGAAGTCGTATATGTAATGTGAATTCTCATGCGAGGTGAAAGGCAGTTTCAACCAAGCCCAGCAGCTCACATCAGGTGAACACACTGATGAGATCTAGGCAAGTGCAGCACTATCGCTCAGTAGACTCAACAACAAGAGATATGATTTATTGTTA